CTCTCTTTGTACCAGATACTGACCTGCTTAAAGGTGGCGCCCTGATGCAGGTACGGACGCGCTGATGACGAAGCTGGAGCTATGGCGCCTCAGGTAAGTCTCAGGTGAGTCCTCCGGCCTCCGCCACTCTCCTCTCCCTAGCGCTACCCTGAATCCTAACAGCACCCTGCGCTGGAAGACTAATTGTCGACTACTGTAGCCGCAGCTTCTCCTGAAGAGTGCCGCTACAAATGCCTGAAAGACTCAGTTGCCTCCTAGGCGGACCAGCTATATATAGCGCTGGTCCGGCTGGGAGGCTGTTCTCACCAATGCCGAATGGCGCCAGTCCCTGGCACCCAAAAGTCTGGCGCGTAAGTTGGCGCCCAAATTCAAATCTTTGAATTTGAAACAGGGCCTGAAACAGCCTGGTGCCTACTGGGCCTATACCGGGTCTGGCGCCAAAACGGGCGCCAGGACCTACCTACAGCCTACCGACCTACAGGGCCTACCTAGGCTGAAACGACACAGGTCTGACGGGCCTCTACCTAAGCTGAACCGACACAGGGCCTGAAGGGCCCCTACCTAACCCCTGTCCTGCCTGGTCGGACCCTGCGGGGGCCCATGTGGTGCTCAGTATGTCACAAAATGGACCAGGTGGGAAGTCCTCTCTGTGCAGTTGGACAGTAGGAAAAGGGAGCAGGGGGTGGATCACTTGGTACTACAGACCAGAGCAGTCTTTTCTTTCAGACCAGAGGTCTTGTTGTTGAAACTTGGGGTGAACAGGAACAGGATCAGATGTCACCAAGAAAGAGTTCTGGTCCAAGGACTGAAAAGACAAATTAGGAAGATTCTGTGAGAATTCATAGGGACTGAGTACAGGGAAAGGGTACTAAATGCAGACCAGGCATAGAGGATTTCAACAGAGCTTGCAGCTAGTGAATTCCTTTTTTTTTTTTTTTTTTTTTTAAATAAACGCAGGGCCTTATGGTCCTGGCTCCTTCTATTCTGGGGAGTGTCAGTCCGGTTCCTATTCCACCGGCAAGTCAGAAGAAACATTACATTACAGCAGAAACTCACGCTTCCTCCCGTTTGGCCGGAGGACCCCTGAACAGCATGATTGCTCCACCATAGCTTGCCGTGACTCCCTCTTTCCTCTCAGACCTGAAAAAACGCCAGCTCTGCCTGATAGTGCTTTGTCATCTAGAAAGAGCTCGCCCATTATTTCTATATGCCTGTGCTCTCCCCCTCATCGGCCCTGCCCGTAAGTCGCTGTATCCC